AAGACTTACTTGTTTTTTTTCAGCAACAAAAAGTCACTGTCCCGTGGTTCTTTTCCTCCCACCTATATGATGCTGCCAGAGAAGCCTGACCTGGGATTAGGTCCTTCCCATTGGTCTCCAAACATTACAGCAACCCTTTTGTACCACTGGTCGTTGGGATTGCCTGGAACAGCCTTCAGCCTGCTCTGAAGTTATGTTGGGCAACCATCCAGCAGAGAGCTGCTCAATAGGAAAGCTGAAAGGTCATTTTTGCGCATATAATATGTTTCTATCCTAGTCCATGGACAGTAATTAATGATTTAAGCCTAAAAACCCAGATAAAACTGAATGCAGTAGAAATAAATACCAATAACCTGCAACAAAAAAAATCCCCAACATTTTGCAGGTTTAGCAGGGATCATTACAGTTAACTAATTTTTGGAAGTAGTATCAAAGCAAAAAAGCTCTATAATTTTATTTTATACATGTTCAGCTGTGACATTATGATGCTTTTTTTCCCATCTTACGTCTGGATCCTTTACCTACAAAAGCCAGCTGAGGGTTGGGTTTTGTTTTGTTTTTTTTTCCTTTGGATCACAGAAAGATTTATTTCTGTGACTGCAGATATTTTAAAATATATTTTAAATGTTTTCTATTATTCCCTCCTTCTGCTCTCCACACATGTTAAAATCCGCTCAGAGCAAGGGTCTGCGAAAGGAGCTGGAAAGGGCTCTGTCCTTTTTCTGGGATTGTTTTCTTTGTGAGACTGCAAGTACGTTGCATTTGTGTGTGTGTGTGTGTGTGTGAGTGTGAGTGTGTGTGTGTTTGTGTGTGTGTGTGTACATGCACAGGCTTAGTCCTCAGGTGGAACTGTGGTTCCTGTGCTTTCGTTCTCGAAGCTGTTATTCTGGAAGGGAATGGAGGCAGCTGTGTTTACAGCTCAAGTCTTGGCATACATTTACCAGAATCTATTATTCATATCGTTCAGTATCAGGGAGAGATCTCAGGCCACCTGTCTATCTGACAAATTCACCCTTTTGTGAGCTTTCTGTTCATAGCAAATTATGTTCACATTGATGAATTGAGTTTTTATGAGCATTGCTAACTAACATTCTCACAGAAGGCCAGGGGCAATAGACTGCAAGTGTTTCTGGTCCACAAGTAAATGTTAAAAAGAAAAAACTGCCAGTATTTAAAGACAATTTGCCATGGAGGGACAGTTAAAATATTTGGCAAAGTCTTGATATTTATAAATTCAAGAATGTCCATAAATTATTACAGATAGTATGCTCATCACAAATAAAAAAATAATAATAATTCCATACTGCCCCCTGTGAGTGTGGAGGGCTCTTTAGTATTCTGTGTGTTAACAGGTAGACAGTGATCAGAGCTTTTAACAAATCCTTACCAGGGATTAAAACAAGGTGGGAACCATTTGGTTTTGCAAAGGGGATCTTCCCTTGAAAATTGTGCTGTAGAATCAGTGGGACACAGTGAAGTGAACACAAAATTATGATTTACCTGGTCTTTTCATCATGGACCTGATTCATACCCAAGGATTCCATAGTCATGGGATCAGCTGAACCCTATAGATTGAAAGATCTGTAGTTATAGATCCAAATATTTCCATAATGAGAGATTATTGTCAAGATGTGCTGGGACAACTTTCCCTGTGAGCACCCAAATTCTTCATGCCCCTTACACAACCCTTTGGTAGTAGAATCCAATGTCAAAGATAGAGCGCGAGCCACCTCTGAGAGCAAAAGGGAGTGAGCTGGGTGACCAGCCTGCAGATACAACCTCTAAATGAATAAATAATCAGCTGCATCAGGTAAATCTATTTACTATGATGCATCTAGGGCCATTTAATATGCCTTAGAGCACCTGAGACACTGCATGAAGTGTCCCAGAAGCTCCTCACTTCTTGGCACGGTTGGAGGAATAATGTGGATACAACAGGGTAACTCCCTGACATGGTTAGCTGCCAGCATCTAAGTGGCTGAATCCCACCACAACTGCCATAAGGATGCTCTTAGGAACCCACAAAAAAGAGGATGGCGATGACTGACGTTTCAGTGAGAGACCTGGCACTAATAGGCGTACTACGAGAGCAAATTTTGAAAGGGGAAAAATA